CCCCCCCCCCCCCCCCCCCAATAAACCACACGAGACACAGACCATCCTTTAATGCAAGTGTATGAACCACCTAGTGTATAGGCAATCAAATCAAGTGATCCTGCCCACCTTAAAAGGAGATTAGGAAAGAAAGAAACAAAAGAATTTGAATGGAACAATAAGTTCAACTGGAGTTCAGAACTAAAATACAGTAAGTCTTAGTAATCGTGGCGTCAACTTAAGTGGGACATTTAACGTATCCGTGACTTGGAATAAACAATTTCTGTAGCAGAATCAGGCGATGCTACTCAGTAGCAGGCATGATCCAACACAAGATGTTATCTACAACCATTGAGCAATAACAGTGACACTGGCAGACTAAAATTTTGATCAGTTACCTGTGGCCAACAAATACAAGAAGATGCATGATCCATTAAGAACAACAAGGCGTGGAAGCCAGTCATCAACTTCAGTGTTGTCAATAGGAGGTTGTTCTCCAGGTAGTGCTGCCCATATCCATCAAAGAAAGAGACAGGAAATTTGTCAATCAAAAAGATAAAGCACACAGCATATTGTAGTCTAAAAACTAGTACAAAGTGAAAACACACTAGAGGGGAAGAGTTAGTACAGTCCGCAAGTACCAATAGCCTGACAGACAAGGAGAATGCAAAATGCCATCAAGGTGCTCCAACCTGAATAGAACAAAAGAATTTTATTGTTGATACGAAGAACATGGATTGAACAAAGGCGTAATTTCTAGCCAAAATAAAGAAAAAGGCATTCTTTACACACCAAGTGCATGTGCACATACAGCTAAATCTCCCCCCACCCCCCCAAAACAACCAAAACCCCAACACACACTCCAGTATGAAGTTAGACAACCTTTATGCAACTTGTCTTACGAAAAAATAAAAAGGATAATTTTTTTCTAAGAAAGAAAATGCCAAGCATTACTATTTTAGATTTTTATGTTCCATAGGAAAATTTACTGTGAAAAAAGACATGTAAGTTACTTGGCTAACTTGCAAGGACAATGCTCAACTCAACAAAACCTTGTCCCAACGTCTTTGGGGTTGGTTATATGAATCGTGTTTCGCAATTGAGCTCTATCAAGAGCAATTATTTCAGTTAAACTATAGGTTATCAAATCTTTCTTTACTATTTCATTCAAAATTAATTTTGATCTTCCTCTACCCTTATGTTTACGGTTTACCTTCAATAACTATATTCTTTCTAACCGGTGTCATAGTGGGTCATCTATAAATATGTCCAAACTAAGTAAGTTGATTCCCACTTATCTCTTATATGTACTACCTCTATTTTTTCACAGATATATTTGTTCCTAATTTTATCTTTTGCTAATTTTACCACACAGATCTTAACATTCTCATTTTTAGCCTACAATTTGTGAACATGTTGTTGCTTAGTTGTCCAACACTCAGTACCATAAAACATAATAGGTCTTATGGCCGTGCTATAAAATTTCTTTTTACCTTAAGGGATATATGTCTCACACAACGCACCGGATGCATTCCTCCATTTAGTCCATCCTGCATTAATTCTACGCTTAACATCATTGTCACTATGAATAATAAACCTTAAATATTTACATTCCATTCAATCAGTTTTAGTCTTACTTATCCTAAATCCTTTTGATTCTAGTGATTCTCGCCAAATTTCTAATTTATTATTAATTCCATATTTACTTTCATCATCAACTAGTACAATATCGTCCGCAAATAACATACACCACCGGAGCTCATTCTGAATATGCTTAGTCAATTCATCCATAATCAATACAAAAAAATATGGACTTAAAACAGAACCATGATGTAAACCTACAGTCATTGAAAATTCATTAGTCTTCCTCACCATTGTTCTCACTAAAGTCACTGCATCTTCATACATATCCTTAATAACATCAATATATACCTAATAGTAATATTTTCCTTGTGTAGGACCCCCCATAATATCTCTCAATGAACTCTATTATATGCCTTCCCTAAGTCTATAAAAATCACATGAAGGTCCTTATTTTTCTCTCTATACCTATTCAATAGTCTTTGAAATAAATATATAGCTTTCATTGTTGACTCTCTGGCATACACCCAAACTAATTATCAGAAATCGTTGTCAAATACGGAGTCAAGTTTCATTATTAATAGCAACTTTAGTAATCAGAGAGTAAATAACTATTTTTTGTCATGCAGAACAGCACATAAAAGCTGCAAAAACTAAGATTGTTGATATCGTAGCCATGTCTTGCTTGCTAACTCCACTAGTAACTCATAAAAAACTTTAAAATACCTTTGGGAGCAAAATGAAGACCCTGATGAGTAATAGTGGAAACAAAACTCTAAATTTGATGCCTCAAAGGCGGACACTAATATTACTGCCTCATCTAACCCAAACCTAAACTAGCATGAGGATAAAATTGATGACTGGATTTTAACACTCATCATGTAACCTTACCCCAACTTGAGTCGTTTCAAGAATTCATAAATAATTTATGTACCAAGCCACAGCACGAATGCTAANAAATTTCTTTTTACCTTAAGGGATATATGTCTCACACAACGCACCGGATGCATTCCTCCATTTAGTCCATCCTGCATTAATTCTACGCTTAACATCATTGTCACTATGAATAATAAACCTTAAATATTTACATTCCATTCAATCAGTTTTAGTCTTACTTATCCTAAATCCTTTTGATTCTAGTGATTCTCGCCAAATTTCTAATTTATTATTAATTCCATATTTACTTTCATCATCAACTAGTACAATATCGTCCGCAAATAACATACACCACCGGAGCTCATTCTGAATATGCTTAGTCAATTCATCCATAATCAATACAAAAAAATATGGACTTAAAACAGAACCATGATGTAAACCTACAGTCATTGAAAATTCATTAGTCTTCCTCACCATTGTTCTCACTAAAGTCACTGCATCTTCATACATATCCTTAATAACATCAATATATACCTAATAGTAATATTTTCCTTGTGTAGGACCCCCCATAATATCTCTCAATGAACTCTATTATATGCCTTCCCTAAGTCTATAAAAATCACATGAAGGTCCTTATTTTTCTCTCTATACCTATTCAATAGTCTTTGAAATAAATATATAGCTTTCATTGTTGACTCTCTGGCATACACCCAAACTAATTATCAGAAATCGTTGTCAAATACGGAGTCAAGTTTCATTATTAATAGCAACTTTAGTAATCAGAGAGTAAATAACTATTTTTTGTCATGCAGAACAGCACATAAAAGCTGCAAAAACTAAGATTGTTGATATCGTAGCCATGTCTTGCTTGCTAACTCCACTAGTAACTCATAAAAAACTTTAAAATACCTTTGGGAGCAAAATGAAGACCCTGATGAGTAATAGTGGAAACAAAACTCTAAATTTGATGCCTCAAAGGCGGACACTAATATTACTGCCTCATCTAACCCAAACCTAAACTAGCATGAGGATAAAATTGATGACTGGATTTTAACACTCATCATGTAACCTTACCCCAACTTGAGTCGTTTCAAGAATTCATAAATAATTTATGTACCAAGCCACAGCACGAATGCTAAATACTTGTGCCCTCTTATTTAATTTTAATTTTCCTTTTTTTTTGTTTTTTTTTTTGGTTGGGGAGTAAGACTACAAATAATATGCTTACAGAGTAAGACAACCATATTTCAATGCCAGAAACCAAGCATAACAAATTTCCTTACTGAGCTTTCAGACAAGATTATCTCCCTTCTAAATCAGAAACTTCTGATTGAAGTGATTCTACTTATGCACCAGTCAAAACAACCTGCAAGTTATACTCACTTTAGTTTTCATTAAAACTTAAAATCGCTCTCTCCTAGTGGTGAGCTGAACAAAACTTTTTTCTCAACTTGTTCTGAACCATCAGTGCTAGATATCCCTAGGGTAGCCCTTTCAGACTAAACAAGTGCAACATCGACGCAGCACTTTTTAATTTTCTTTGAGCCCACACACGACTATGCCACTTAAGCTAAGGTAGAAGAAGGAACCTACACTAAAATGAGTACACAGTATTTTACTTCTTTTACTTTACAATACTTTCAAGAAGATATACCTAGAAGAATTATCGATTGTTGGATCAGATAAAGAGGAAGTGCTTCTTTGAAAAGAAGCTATATCAGCTGTTGAAACTTGACAGTGATCTCGGAAAACCTCTATTCCTCGACAACCATCACTCATCAAGTTTGCAAACCTATCATCACAATTAACACGAAGTTTGAAACTTCTAACATATAAGCAAGGTGATGCAGCTAAGGGGTTTGATAGATTGTGGGAATCATAGTGGTGTGAGACCACCCGGCTGAGCATGGCAGTGCGCGGTGGGCTCAATTGAGGCAATGTTGGTGAATGGCTTCAAATTGCATGGCGTGGGCTCAACCTGGCATGCTTGTTGGTTCGTGAGCAAGGGATGTTTATTGATTTCTGGGCGCATGGAAGGCACACACATATGACTAGTCAGTTGAGGAGAAGCTGCTGCAAAAGACCTGGTCAAAGGCAGGCAGCTGTGGGTAGATAAGCCGCAACCTGGTCATGGGCAAATAGATAGGGGCAACTACCACATCAGGTGTTGGAATGGGAAAACCATCTACCAGCTGTCAAGCAGAGAAGCAGCTTGGCTATAGAATTTTGCTAGAAATTAGGTATAACTGTGTAACTGACATTAGGCAAATGGGGGTGTCATCTACCATGCCTCTGTATAAATAAGTGTGCCAGGACATTCTGCCGGGACAGAGAGTCCTTGGCCGAATTTGAGTTTCCTTGTAATTTACCCCATGACAGTTTGGTATCAGAGCATTGATTTTGGAAGAAAGATCGATCCATGGCGAGCAGAACGAATGTTGATTTGAGGGAAAGGGTGACACATTTGGAGGAATTGGTTGGTCCCCTATGTTCTGGTGATGCTATGGCCCTTTTTGTGCAGCCTGAGTTGCTGTACCAACGGCTCAAAAAAATGCAAGCATCCCAAGAAAAACTTCAAAAGACTGAAGTTGATCACTTTAGTCAAACCAAGAACGAAGTTGTTAATGTTCTTGCCATGGTTTCTAATGGACTGGGGGATAACTTAAATACCCTCGAAACAGATGTAGCACTACTCAAGAAAGCACTACAAAATGCCCTTTCAGATTCTGGCAGTAAAACCACGTAGAAAGCCAAAGTGTCTGACCCTAAGTCGTTCACTAACAGTTGTAACGCCAAAGAACTTGAAAATTTCTTGTGGAATATGGGCCACTACTTCAAGTTTCTTGTGGAATATGGGCCACTACTTCAAGGCAATCCGCACTCCGGATACCGAAAAAACAGATCTCACCAACATGTACCTGTCTAGTGATGCAAAGTTATGGTGGCGCACACAATTAGTGGACAAGTCTTGCCCTCAAATCACTACATTTAGAAAGAACTATCCACTAATATGAGGGAGTAATTCCTTTCAAGCAACACGGCTTGGCCGGCCCATGATGCTTTGAGAAAACTTCGACACACAAGCATAGTGAGGGAATATATTTCTCATCCCTCCTGCTTGACATAAAAAATATGTCAGAGGAAGACAAACTGTTCATTGTTTTTTGTTTGGGCTTTAGACTTAGGCGTAGGCTGAACTTTGTCGGCAAGGGGTGAAGGATTTACTCGCTGCTATATCTGTGACAGATGCATTGGTGGATTACCAAACGCAAGCCAACCCTTCTGAGAAGAAGTCCAACGGGAAGGCCAAGTTCCAAAAGGAGAACAAGTAAAAGAAGAAAGCCAAGAAGTCCAGTTCCACAAATAAGCGGTCTGACAAGCCCTCTCCGTCAAAAGGAGGTGCTGACTCAGGTTGTTTCATTTACAATGGCCCCTATTTGTGCCAGAAATTGCCCCAAGATGGAGAAACTCGGCGCCCTTATAACTGAGGATGTTAAACATTCAGATGAGCCTACGTGAGTCAACCCCTTGCAGCTCCTTAATCCAATTCGCAAAAAGGAACCTATAGCTTGGAGGGAATTGATGTTTGTGCAGATTCGAATTAACAAAGTTGATGTCCAGGCAATGGTTGACACAGGTGTGACGCACAATGTTGTTTATAATCGAGATATGCAACAACTTGGTTTGGCCTTGACAAAAGATTCTAGCAATCAAGGTCGTTAAATCAAAAGCAAAACCAATAGGCGGTGTTGCAAGAGATGTCCCACTAAAAGTTGGTAATTGGCTAGGATAATGCGATTTTATGGCAATCTCTCTCAATAAGTTCCATGTGATCCTTAGGCTGGAATTCTTTAATAAAGCAAAGGTGTCTGTGATGCCTCGCTTGCATGGGTTATTCATGATGGACATGCCTAGTCCTTACTTTGTACCCCTCATCAAAGCTAAGACCCCTGGGGAAATGTTGTCCATCTTGTAAGTCAAAGATGGCATGCGAAAGGATAAGCAACATACTTGGCCGTATTGATTGAAGATGAGAAGCCCAAAACGTTGCAAGTTCCTGAACCATTACCATAGTTGCTGATAAAATTCGAGGAGATGGAACCCAACGAATTGTCAGCCAGATTATCATTAAGACGAGAGATTGATCATGCCATCAAGTTAATTCCAATGGCAAAAACCCCCGCCTAGGCGCCTTATCGAATGTCTCCATTAGAATTGGTGGAGATAAAGAGGCAACTATGTTACCTATCGAAGATTGGGTTTATTAGACCCTCAAAAGCTCCGTACGGAGCCCCTGTCTTGTTTCAAAAGAAGAAGATTCGTTCCTTACGACTATGCATTAATTATCGAGCCCTTAACGAGGTGAAAATCAAAAATAACTATTTAATCCCACTCGTTGATGACTTGTTTGGAGAAGGTGACTTCAAAAAGATGAATCTACGTCTTGGATATCACCAAGTCAAAATCATTGAACGAGATAAGGCAAAGACAACTTGTGTGACAAGGTATGGTTCATACGAGTTTCTAGTTGTTTATAGCAAAACTTTAGAGGAGCATGTTGAGTATCTTAGGTTTGCTTTGACTAAGTTGAGAGAGGTGGAGCCGTATTTGAAACCTAAAAAGTGTGAGTTTGCCCAGAAGGAGATTTCATTCCTGGGGCATATTATTTATGCAAATGTAGTAAAGATAAACCCCAAGAAGATTGAGACAATTGTGAATTGGCATGTCCCTACAAAAGTGACAGATTTGCGTTCATTCCTTGATTTGGCAAATTACTATTGAAAGTTTGTGAAAAATTACTCAAAGAAAGTTGTTGTACTAATTGATCTTTTGAGAAATGATAGAACTTGGAACTGGTCCTATGAATGCCAGGAGGCATTCGATCAATTAAAGGTGATGGTGACAACTAGGCCAATTTTGTGGCTTCCTAATTTTGATTTACACTTTGAAGATCATACAAATGCATCAAATTTTGCTCTTTGAGGGGTGTTGGTGTAGAATGACCATCTACTGGCATACAAAAGCAGGAAGCTAAATGATACTGAGAGGCGGTACTCGGTGCATGAGAAGGAGATGACAATAGTCATGTCAATGCGTGAAGGCACTATCTGCTAGGGCAACATTTCGTGATTGTGACCGACAATGTAGCTGCCAGTTGCTTCAATTCCATGAAGAAGCTGACACTGAAGCAAGTAAGATGACAGATCTTTCTTGCTTAGTTCCATTTTACTTTGTAGTATAAGCCTGACAGCAAGGATCAAAATATTGTTTTGAAACGGTCGAAACGTCCGAAACGTCCAAAACGTTTCTATTTTCAAGGAGATTGAAACGAAATAGTAATAGAATCGAAATTTTAATATTTTGAAGTATTCCATAATATTTCGATATGTATTATAATATTTTAATACATTTACATAATTGTTTCGGAATGTTTCAAGGTATTTCAAGATATTTTGATATATTTCAATTAATGTTTTAGAAAAATAGTTTCTAAATTTTTTATTTTTTTATTATGTTTTCGAAACGTTTTCGAAAGACGTCGAAATGTTCTGTTTTCTAGGTGACTGAAACAATACACCAAAACAAAATTTTGATCCTTTCCTAACAATACAAATCAAGTTGTTGATGCACTTAGCCAGATCCCAACTACTGATGGGATGGTATTTGCACTAAGCTAGATTACCGGGAACATGGTGTAGATGATCCATGACCAAAAGAGGATTATCCTGTGACAAGCTTGCTGCTAAAACAAGTCTAAGAAGGAGTGACTCAGCGGCTTTGGGTAGAGGAAGGTGTCCTCTATGCCAAAGAAAGGAGGCCCTGTGTTCTGAAGTCCACTCGAACTTCGACAATTGTTGTTGAAAGAGATGCATGATACTCTATGGTTAGGACATCCGGGGCAAGAATGGACACTTGCTCTATTAACGGAAAGCTAAGCTCTGTGTGCACACTTGTTTGGTGTGCCAGCAGAACAAACTAGAAAGGAGAAAAATGGCAGGTACCTTAGAGCCTTTCCCCATTCCAAGCAGGCCTTAGGAGAGTGTTTCCATAGACTTCACCAATGGGTTGCCAAAGATGAACAATTTTACTTTGATTTTTGTTGTGGTTGACAGATTCTGGGAGTATGCAACGTTCATTGCCGCTCCAAAAGTTTGCTTTGCCGAAGTTACAGCGCAACTGTTCCTCAAACACATTGTTAAGCTTTGGGGTCTTCCAATTGATATTGTAGACGACAGAGACACCAGATTCACTGGCTGATTTTGGATGCCCTTGTTCGAACTATTGGGCACACAACTCAATCTCTCCACTAGCAATCAACCACAGATAGACGAACAAACTGAATGGGTGACTACAATGTTGGAGGAGTATGTATCTAAGGCAATATGTCACAACGAACCAACAAAATTGGGTTGACTTACTTGATGTCGCCCAATTTAGCTATAACTTCCAGCAAAGTTTCTCCCCCAGAATGAGTCCATTCAAGTTGGCAACTAGTCAACAGCTTCTCACTCCACATGAGGTGGCTAAACAAAAGTCTCAAGGGAGATGTCCTGCAACATATCACTCTGCTTGGGCCCATTAGGAGAGGACTAAGGAGGTAAAAGACTATTTGGATAAGGCAGTGAAAAGGATGACGAAATGGACAGATGAGAAATGACTGGCAGTGGAGTTCGATGTTGGTGACAAAGTAATACTGGAATTAACCCCCACCGATTTGGAAAAATATCACTCGAATGTCTGGACATAAAGGATTGATCCAGTGCTATGACTAGGGGTGT